CAAGTTTTCTGTCCGTTAGATCTGCATAAAATCACGTAAAAGTTAAAAAATACATAGATTCAACGGATAAAAAAATATGACCTACCGGTATGCCAAACATACTAAAAAATCTTTATATACTTTATTCTAGTGTCGGTGTCACGATTTCCTTTAAAAAAAAAAAAAAGGAAGAAAGAGAAACGTACGTTGGGGCCCTAAAATCTTACTTGTAGAAGGAAAATGTACGAATAAAGAACTAGCATATATAAACATATTCGTTGAATTCATAATTTTTACAAAAAAACATGAAAACTTATTAGGATGTGACTCATCTTGAGTCGTTTTTACGTGGCCGAACTTTGTTCTTGTGCCACTTTGTGGAGGAGTCCTCTCTATTTTGTGATAGAGAGTGCATTTGTATTAACTAATCATATAAATGAAACCGTTTCTTTGATTTTGGCATTGTCTTATATTTTAACTCTTTAATAGCTCTATATTGAGTAATGAATTAAAAAAAAAACATTTTACCAATATGCTTTAAGGACCTTTTTTGGTATGCTAATATATCGGTAGGTCAAGTTTTCTGTCCGTTAGATCTGCATAAAATCACGTAAAAGTTAAAAAATACATAGATTCAACGGATAAAAAAATATGACCTACCGGTATGCCAAACATACTAAAAAATCTTTATATACTTTATTCTAGTGTCGGTGTCACGATTTCCTTTAAAAAAAAAAAAAAGGAAGAAAGAGAAACGTACGTTGGGGCCCTAAAATCTTACTTGTAGAAGGAAAATGTACGAATAAAGAACTAGCATATATAAACATATTCGTTGAATTCATAATTGTCAACAACAAAAAATAAGAAAATAGAAGGATGATGTTATTATACATAATAGTAAGAAAAATAAAGAGAAAACCAAATAGATAATCTCAAAACTAAGAAGAATCAATCTATAACAGTAAAATATTTGAATTTCACATTGTTTAAATATAAACATAACGATATTGTACCACCCATTTAACAGTTCACTTGTTAATATGGAAGCTGAATTCCTTATCTAATTCTTCTACTTCAATTATTTAAGAAATATTTCTATTAAATAATGTGAAGAATACAAACTCCGTTTCTAAAATTTTGTATCAATTGATATTATATATGAGTTGTAATTATTTTAGTATTAGATAAAAAAGAATTGTCATGCCCATAAATAATAAAAGATTACATCTATCAGTAAAAATATGACAATTAATATCACATATGTTGGTATACAAAAATTAAGATTAGAATTGGTATCTTTAACATTTTTTTTTTTTTATTTACATAAAGGATTCATATTCTAGAATATTAAAGAAAGAAAAAAGAAGATGCTACTTCACAATTATTTTTTGCACTATCTATCTTGATGGGGGACTTTTTGCTAGATCACGAGCATATATGAGGGTCATTTTCCAAAGGATATGGTTCTATTTCTTAAGCTTAAAGGCATATATTCCCACGGATGGCTTATGAATTTAGGTGTTAGGATTTCTTTTCTAGCATGTGAAGACACTAGTGTATTTATTTGTGGAGCTTATGTCATTGACTCATTTAAATTTGCTTAAAGTGTTATGGTGGAGGATCTCTTAATATGATCTTTTAATATGTCTTGCAAGACCAAGATCTGTGGAATTCCAATTCCACCAAATAATGAATACTTTATTTTTCTTTTTTCATTATTTATTATCCCGAACTCTGAAATTATAGACATGCATGAAAAGAAATGTGAAACTCTTCTTCAATAGGCTGAGTAAAAATACCATTAAGAAACAAACAGATGTAGTTCAAAATGGGAACCTTAATTAATTTGCGGTGCAAATTGATACACATATCTCATCTTATAACTCCCAAAAGGATAGAAATTTGGAAAAGAAAGACCAAAGAACACTCATTTCCTTGGTTGTTCTTTAGGGGTTTGCAACCATGACATGATTAATACTTCTTTCCAACTCATATAGAAGTCATTAGGAATAGAAAATCCAATGGAAAAGAATGCGAATTTATATAAAATTTCCTATTGGGCCAGATGAGAATATAATATGGAAAATCAATCTTTGTTAACATTTCCATTGCCTACTTTCTCCCTAATATAATCTTTTTTGTATTCCCAAAAGATTAAATAGAAAAAAGAAAAAAGGGACTCAAAGTTAGAAAAATAAGCAATCAAACAAAAGAGGTCAAGCTGTGTTCCCTAAACAATGTATAAAGGTTGAATAAAGGACCTCAATTATATTAATCAAAAAGTTGGATAATGATAAGGGTATGCTAATAATCATTTAAGTGGTAGGTGCTTTTGGATAAGTTGTTAGTTTTATGGTTGGAGATGCTCCGTATGTGGGTCTCTATACTTGGTGAACAAAGAGATTTGTATAAAGGAATTTTGTATAAAATGAGGAGGGCCCTAATTAATAAAGATCACTTTCTATGAGATGATGGGTTTTGTACCAAACATATAGATTATCGAGGAAAGAAAAATTGAAAAGGAAAAAAAAAAAAGGCAAAAATAAAGAAAATGAGTAAAAGAAAAAGAGAAGAGGATCAACATTATTATATGGTTGAACAAAAGGTAAAACTATCGTATAATTAGGCAAAATTAACGCAACGTAATCAACATAAACCTAGTTGAGTTGCCAATCTCCCATTAAATTTAAAAGGGTTTTTCTTACGAAAATACTAAAACCCTCATTGTGTTTCGGCTAAATACTACTTTTGCCCTCTTATTGTGCAAATATCCAAAGACATCCATTGTGTGTATAAAATTACTCTCAAAATACCCATCGTGGCAATTATATTTTTTAACATATATATCAAGATTACTCTTTCCAACCTATATTAAATACATTGCAAACATTATTAAATCAAAATACTAAATAAAATAAATCTTAAAAAATAAAAAGTTCTCAAAATAATTGAAATGTTTGTTTGATTGAAATACTTATTTGAAGAATTTAAAATTGTTTTATTTGATTTTTGGGTAAGTCATATTTAATATAACTTTTAATTAATATAAATTGAGAAGGGTAATCATGATATTTTTTAGAATTTAATTGGTTTACAAGGTATTTTGTGACTGATTTTACAAACACATAGGGCGTTTTACACATTTATATAATAAGAAGGTTAAAAGCGGTATTTTGATAAAACACAAGGATGTTTGGATATTTTCCTTTTTTGTTGACTTTTTCCATGTATTTTATAATTATTCAGAAAGTATACTCTGAGTTTTAAATTGTTACAAAAGTACACACCATCGAATTATATTTAATAGACAAATATATATATATATATATATTCTCTTGAAAAATTTAAAAACAAAAACAAAACGAGTGTTTTTCTTCCCCTAAAATTATTGAAATTATTTATTTTATTATTATTATTATTATTATTATTATTATTATTATTATTATTATTATTAGTAATATACTTTTCATGTGTATTAATGTCAGTTTTTTAGTCAAATTAGTGTGATAACCAGAGAAGCTAGAAGTTATACATTGTGCCTATTAAATACAAGCCGATGGTATATTTTTGTAACAATTCAAAATCAATGTATATTATTTGAATAACTCTAAAATATAGGGTACAAAAAGGTTAAAAGAAAAGAAAATGAAAAAGAAAGAATTCAATTGAAAAGAGAGCAACTCACATTAAATACGTGAGGTTGAAATTATTCTAATCTAACATTAATAAACTTGTACTATCGAAAAATATTACATATAATAGAAAATACCTAATAGGAAAACACTAGGCATGAAAATATTTCAGTAAAAAATATGAATGCATCTTTTTTTTTTTAATCTTTTTTCAGAAAAGGAAAGTAACTTTCATTAGACGTTAAATGAAAAATATTTGCATGTATTCTCAACAGTAGAAGTATGCATACAAAATACCGTTAGGCTACGGTTGCAAGCACAATATATTTTGGTATAACGTAGGTAGTAGTCCGAAAATGTTTTACTGCAAGATTTATTATTACACTGGATTGCCAACACCCTACCGAAAATTCTCACTTCTAGACCAACAACTTTTGATAAAATTCCATCGTTTTGTAAATTGTTTCATTCTTACATAATCATAATGTAATGTTACGAGTATGTGTTAAATTACTGAAAATTCAAGGACATAATGAAAAGAGCCGATTTTTTTTTTTTTTTTAAGAAAAGGATTGCATGTTCACGAATATGCCACAAATAGGGAGAAAATAACGTACACAAAGCAGAAACTTATAAACCATAGGATTGCATGTTCTACAAATATGTAGCAACCAATACTTGTAAATACAAAAAACAGCAAACAGTTTCTCATTCCCTGTATTTGAAACAAGTACAGATTTGATACATATACACCCCCTTCTTCAAAAAGAAAAAAAATAACAATAATAAAGAGATTAAAAAACAGTCAAATAACCACAATATGAAAGACATAGTGACCAAATGAAAGAATTTGACCTGCGTGCTGCCTTTAGAGCTACCATCTGTAATCCTTACAAGGGGTAGCAGCACTTACAAAAGGAGAAAACTAAAATGAAATCGAAATCGAAATCACTCTCGAGCGGCAGCACAATCAATACCAAATCTAACCGAAGTACCATGTTCATCAAAAGGGAAAATATAAACAATGCTAAACATGGATATCAAGGCATTGCGTACCAATAAAAACCACAATTACCCAAATAATAAGTTTCCGATCAAAATGAATGAAGAACAGTAAGTTAGGATGCAAAAGGAGCAGAAGGAACGCGCACTCAAATCAAGCGGATTCAGCCTCAAAACAGATCAAATTTCTTCTTCTGCATGTCTTGCTTCCACTTTGGCAATTTATAGAAGGCTTCCTTTGTAATTCCGAATACGGTTTGGAACTCTTCATCTGAAAGATAGGCCTGAGAAACAAATTGGCAGAAGATTTTAGCACCAACAGAAGTGATATATATGAAGTGAGAGCGTTTGCTATAGAACCAACCTCTCTTCGCTTGAAATCAATTCCAGTAACCGGATTGTCAGATTTAGCCTTCAGTTGATCATAACTGAATGTACTTAGACTACCTTCACTGTCGTTCTCATCCTGCACTGTCTCTTGATTTGGGGAATTGTTCTCAGAACCTGTCACAACTTCCTCCACCTCCTTGACTTCCGCAACATCCTGAGAGCCCTCTGTTTCGGAATTGGCACTTTCACTTTTCTCTTCCTCTGAAAGCACGGAAACGTGTCAGGTTCAATAATTTCAGATTCGAGAGGACAAAAAGGTCACCAACTAGTTCAGAAATAAGCGATTCTTGGTTGGTGTTAATGTCGCAATTCCAGGATCAAGATTAGTAGTAGTAATGTCCAATCAGACCCATTTCACGTAACAAAAAGGACATACAGGATAGATGACAAAAAAAAAAAACAGTTGAAATGTGAATTCAAGGAGATGTGGCAAACTCTAGCACTTTTTGTCCTTTCAAAATGGAATAGAAAGATCCCATCATTCATTCAACAGGAAAAATAACCATTGTTGTTATCAGGAAAAATAAAAGACAATAGAGAGAACGTGAAGGATAAACATTTTCACCCTGAAGATTGATTTCACATCTTGTCATCTACTAGTTAGTTAAGATAAAAGAAAATCACATTTAGTTACATTTTATAGCACGACATGCATCATCTCATACAGGAGATAATAGGCTTTCTCACCAGGGTGGCTACTTTCTGATGGAGGACTTCTAGTTGGAGAGCCATCAGTTGATTTCGTTTTCTTTTCAGCAGTAAGAACTTGAGAAAGAGCAGCAACTGCTGCAGCTCTTTGTGAGCCTTGACCAGAACTAGAAGGCCTGGGAGTGGAAGATTTGGGTCCCGAGGATGAACTAAACGCAGATGATAAAGCAGCTAAAGCTTCAGCTCTTTGCCTTGGTCCTTGTCCCGAGCCATTGGATCTATCCTGACTCTGGTGATAGCACACGCATTAAATTAGTGAATGTGACGTACCAATATCATCTATGTTACCACGATCAGTAAAAGTACAGAAAATGCAAACTCGCACCAATGAAAATAAAAATAAAATAAAATCATTCATCTCTCAAATAATAATTCCGAGTTAGAACTTGGAATGCAGAACCATTGTTGTTATCAATCAACAAAAAGTTTGTATGAGAAAGAAAGATCTATTGCAATTATAACAAGAAATAATATAGATGGAAAGGGCATACAGAAAGCAAATAGAAACTACATGCTTTGTTTTTGTAAATTCCATGCAAAGACCCAAGTGTGCTGAAAAGCAGCTTCTCCGTTGCAACATTGCAACGTGTAAGAAGTCACCAAGTTCCCCAGCAATAATCAAGGATGGAGTGGGTTATTTCAGGTGTCCGTGGGGGAAAACAAGTGATAAAATTATTGAAAAAGTTACCGCTACTTCTCACATTTCCTTTTCTTTTTATTCTTAAATAATAAAATATTAATAAAAAACAGAAGACTCCTCGTGTCAGACTTGTTGATAACATGAATACTGGGACGAGCAATTTAGTTACCGTGGGTGACTTTCCAGATGATGGATTAAATGCAGAAGATAGGGCAGCTAAAGCTGAAGCCCTTTGTGTTGGCCCACCTCCTTGATTTCCATTAGATTTGTCCTGGCTCAGCAATGAAATGGAATGTCAGTTATGTAAATAGCCGAAAAGGCTGATTTGATGATCAGTAGATGTCCTTGTAGACTAGGTGCTTCAGCGCGCACAAATAAACATCATTATTATTGTTCTTACTTAGAAGTAGATCCTAACTGTCTAATCCCGTGGTTAAAGCCTTTTTGAACTATCTTTAAAGGCAAAACATGATCCTTCCAATTGACTCGTAACAGGACTCCCCTACTGGGCTATAAACACAAACAAGCTATCATTGCATAATTTTCCAAAAAAGCAAATTTGTGAGCTGATTTTTTCATTCGGTTTCTTTTAATTGGTTATCCTGCCGTGCTGGTCTTAATAATCATGCTTCATGGTTTCTGCTCAACTTACTCACCAAGCTTCTTTCATTACATTAAGAAAAATATAAATGGATTGCTTACCTCCACACCACTCCCAAAGCCAAAGAGTATTGAGACCTTCTTTTGGAACGAGTTTCCTTGAATCTGCAATTCAAGTACATTTGTTAAGTGCTATTTAAAAGGGAGAATGAAACTTGGCCCCAATTTATTAATTGTAAGAGAAAATTAAAACATCTTGCTGCTTTAAAAATAAAATAAAATAAGAAAATGTCTATTGCATAAAGATAGCATGATATTAATCTAGTAAGTTTCCTGCCAAGATATAACATTTTCCCTTAATTATAAACTAAAAAACTAGTAACGATAATATAACTGAAAAAATAACGATAATCAGTAAGTTTTTCTTCATTTTTTAAATTTTGTTCTCGTTTTTTTTTTACAAAAAAAAAAATGATAATCAATATGCAATGCAGTTTTAGCACATACAGCGGCTTTTGTATTATCCCATGAAAAGTATGTTGTGAAGAAGCAAGGTTCATTTCCTTCGGAAGCTTTGTACAGCGGTACAGAAGGAGACAATCCCTCCAGAGATGCAGCCAACTCTATGTATTTCTGCAAAAAGATTATCCATGTATTAAGTTCTTCAAAACAGGAAACATCGAAAAAAGAAGTTTAAAAGAACGATAACTACCTCCCCAATTTCGAAAGCACTTTGCTTTTCTTTAGAATCTACACATTGACCCACCCAGACAAATACTTCAGCATGCGTGTCGAGAATCAATATATCCTCTGTCAACAAATCATCTTGAGAGAAGTTGTACACTTCCTCCACCTGCCAATTGAATACAGAATTTATAATTATAAGCCACTAGGACACACGTTAAATCAAAATATAATGATGTTTCACTTTTCTCGTATCCCAACTCACCTGAAACTTTCCTGGGCGATCCATATGGCAAGTCAAATGATGAAAACAAGAGAGTTAGAACATGCAATCAGCTTTATTAAAAGCTTAAAGGCTCAGATATCAGCACATGCCCTTATCTTGACGATGAAGAACATTCAACAGAATAAAGTATTACTCTTCAGACAAATAAAAAAAGAATTGCTACCTTTATTCAATGAGAATGTGAACAAATGGGGATCTCTGACTACTTCTGTAGCAGCCTTTTTACTGGTGTAGTTTTGTTTCCCTCCAAGAGCAAACCAGAAGGATGAGCTCTCAGTTCCTTCTTTAGCATGTTTCAGAGAAACTCCAGGCTGAATTAGTAGCAACACAAGGACTAAATTAATTATAATAGCAGTATATGAGGCAACATAAGAAACTAACGCTTGTGTTAAAGTCGGAGAACAATAAAACCTAACATTAAAAAGGCTAATTGAACGTTCAAATCCAATCCAACAGATGTCTGCTCAATTCTTTATACCAGTCATGCCATACTTCTACTACATAGGAAAGAATGTATGTGTCTGTTAAAAGGCCTTATATACCATGGTATGATTTACAGACCAGTCTTTCCCCTTTGATAAAATGGTTAGTGCAGCTGAAAATTAAATTTTTTTTTTTTAATTAAAAAAAACAAAAAGAAAATAGAAAAAGAATAAGAAAAAAATCAAAATAATAATATGTTTTTTCAAGTGAACTTGGTCCTACTTAGGACAAAGCATATACTGTAACTTCCAAGACATCATATACAAAACGATCCAGGAAAGGTATAACTTTCTGCAAACAGCATACCTTCAAAAACTCTGCAACTTTTGCAGCCCACTGTTGCTGTTCAAACGTGCATTGGTTTCCATGCCAAGTGAAAACCGAAGAGCCAGATTGTAGAAGGAAACACTCAGCAGAGTTCAATGATGTTGCCGCCTAAACAAGAATGACATTAAGCGCCAGTATAGCAATATGTAAGATAGCTCACTAGGGTGAGAAAAAAGCTACATGCAGGGGATAGGTAATAATGTCTACAAAGTTTGAGAAACTAATGAGCAGTAGAACCAGAAACTTGTCTGTAAAACAGAAGGGTAGGGCTATTATTTCTCTTCCGCATGGAGTTAAATTTTGACTTTATTTAAGACGACGATTTTTCAGCAAAAACATAGGAAAGAGAGTTTGTGTTATAGATAAGATCCATGTTAGAGTGTGAGTTATCCTAAAAGTACAAATGTGGATCTGCTCTTGAAATGCAATCCACTATTGATAAATGCTAGAGGTTATTATTTCTTCTCTTTATAACCCACATAAGAAAAATAAAATAAAGGCCGGGCAATCTAGGAAGTCTGGAAGTGACAGGTTAAATGGAGTACACTCAGGTCATTGCACATCTGCAGACAGGGTCTTAGCCAAAGGAGGTTTTGAGAATTTTGAGTCCAGATCACCACACAAGTACAACTGCATCATAACAATTCGATTCAAAAGAGCACATACCGCCTCAACTTGAAGTGCTTTGTTGTTGTGAACAGAAGTTCCAGAAATCCTGATTAGGGCCACACCATCTGCTGTGTAAGTTTCATCTGCCAAGCCTTTCTCTGCTATAAATTTTTTATAACCTGAACTCAAGCCACCCTGAAGTAAAAATAAATCAAATAATGAGATAAATATTAATCACAAACTTCAAATAAATGCCCTTTTTACCCCTTTTGTTAAGAGAAAATATAAATAAAAATCTTTAGTGTTAATAAGACGAGCTTAAGCAGAATACCTTCAGGACCACCATAGGCTGGAAAAGAGCAATAAACTGAGGTGGCTCTTTATCTTGAAATATGCGACCCTGCAACAAGCTCTGTTATATGCCAGTCCTTAAATGTACATTTCCCAACTTGATAGAAGATAGATACCTGAACAGGTCTCCCCTTCAGTGAGTTGGACATGGTGTTAGCCAAACGAGAAGCCATCTTCTTGTCCTCCTGCATTGTGTAAAATTTAGACATTATCTATCAAAACGCTAACTATAGGCGCGTGAAAGCTTCAACAAACCAAAAGTGAGCAAGGGTGGAAGGCAGAAATGGGAGCATTTTTCCTTCGAGCAAGCATCATAATACAAACAGATTGAAGTTATGTTTTTTTGCAATTGTGTTTTGAATAGGGTAAGCAGAAATGGTAACCAGGGACCATGAGTTGACTGAAAATTGACTCACATGCCCAGTAAAAAGAAGATAAAAAGCCAAAAGAAAGGATGAGGAATGCTACAAAATTTAAGAAAAGACGATAATACACAACAGCAATATAAAATCCAAATTCTTTGTATCAATAAAAGAAAAATGAAACTCATTCAAGGAAATATAAAATTCAAATTTCAGCAAGAAAAAAAAAAAAAAAAAAAACCAACCACCTAACTGGTTGGATTTTCAACAACAGGTTTTTGTATTTAAAATGTGAAAAATAAGGAACATGTATTTGGTTGGTTATTTGAAAATTTATTTTTAAATGGATGGATGATAACAGCCTGTTTCAATGCTTTTTTCTTTTTTCTAGATCTTTTTCTGAGATTTCCACTTGATTATACCCACATATAACTCAAAAATACCAAAACGGTGAGTCATACCAAATGTAATTTGGGAAATGGAAAACTATAAACACTAAGATAAAAAGTTGCATTTTATTTCTACAGCATATGTAGAACTACAAGTCAATTAAAATTACAAGTCAGGTTTCATTTCACAACATATCTAACATTCTTTTAAAATCATATGCCAAATCAGGTCATTAGCCACTTCTATGTCAATTGTCTTCGCTCTGTGTTGAAGTATTACCCTATACGATGCTAGAAATACATGTATTTCTTTCTATATACACAAAAGTTATGCTACATGTATTTCTTTCTATATACACAAGAGTTATGCGACAAAATCATAAAAGCTTACTAGCTATTTTGTACTCAAAATACATTTTAAATTACCTCAATGCTATCCTTTCCAAACCAACAGCATAAAAAGTAATCTTCTTTCCTATCACCTGAGTGGTAGGTATAAAGAATGATGTAGCAATCTCCACTATAAAATTTACCAATATCTTCTTTGGGCACTGGAGTTTTGGCATTGCCATTGATGCGCCATACCTGCATAAAATTAAATATTCCATAAGGTATGATTTTAGCAGCCTTATTATTCTGAAAATTTCGGCAGGCAATGTTGGAAAAGTATTGGCCATACCTCCAGCTTTCCACCTCCTTCAAGCAAGGGTGGGACTTCCTCATTTACAGGAGCACTTTTTGTCATGCCCTTGACACCAACACCTTGTTGTTTCAGCAAAGCTAACAAAACAGAGAGTGATTAATAAAGCTAGCTAGATGTCTAGTCCATAGAACTGACGAAGGTGACCATTACCTGCGACCTTTCCTCGTCCTTCCTCAGCACCAGGAGCTGCAGATCCTGATGGCCAAGAATCAAAGTTGGACTTGAATGCATGAGTCTCATAGCCTTGAATAAGCCGGGTTATACGTGTTGCTTTCGGCCTATTTTGACTTGCAACAAATTCCTATGATAAAATGTTGGTGTTAATAACCATACTTTCATCAACATTAAGAAATAATTGCTAGATTACTACCTCAGCTGTTTGGATGGCAGCTTTTCTCTCCTCGAGCTGTGTTACTCGACCAATCCAAACAAATATCTCAGCACCACAGTCCAGTAAATAACATTTATTGTTTTCCAACAAGGATTTTGATAGTTCACCCTCCACAATCTTCACTTCACCATCAGTTATGCTACAAAATTAGTTGAAGCAAATTAGGATACTGAGTTGGTTGTTTTACAGATTAGGAGACATTAATTAGTGTTGCGGGTTGGTTCGTTGGGAACATTTAACTTATGAGGCATATTAATGTAAAAGATTGCATAACAGAACAACAATAAATCTGAATTGCTGCCCAATAACAGTAATTTACAGCTTGATTAGTAACAATAGCAGATTGGGATAATATTTGAACATGGACAAATCCAACCACTAGTTCCAGCAATAAGCATGACAGTCAAGAATGGTCAGGATGATATGGATATTCTAAAAATTCTAGTGTGAGGCAGATAAATGATTTTGTTTTTAGAGATTTTGTTACTGGTAATAGCTTAGAATCGACTATTGTATTAGGATTCTGGTGTACAGTGTCTTGGAATTGTGGTTGTAGACTTCCATCTGCTCGGCTGATTATAGGCTGAAGGTTAAGCAACCTTGCTAAAAATGAGGTCGGCCAACCTGTTTAAAAATCAGGTTTGGGCAAAAGTGTGAGGTTGAGCAACGTTGCTAAGAAGGCAAGGTTCGCCAACGCTGATAAAAAAAACAGGGTTCAGCAATTTTGAGTAAAACAGGGTTCAAAAAGCACGGTTCTATTCTCAGTCCTGCCTTCTCTCACCGAATCCGCTAAGGGTGTACAAAAATGTTGATTTAAAAGCACTCCGGTCCAACCTCAAATATTTCACTCTCAATTATTGATTTCACCCTCTTAATCAAATTTCTCGTAAACAATTAGCATGCAGAATATAAGTGACATAGTTCTTGAGAACATATGCTTTAAAAAATAAAAATAAAAATAAAAATACTTAGCATAAAAAACTAAGAACTAAAAACTAAAAAAAAAATATATATCTACCACTAGTAATGTCAATAAAATTATAGCATCATCGCCAAAGACACGCCTATATTAAATATTTTACCATGAAAAGAAACACATAGCTCGGTACTTTTTTTTTTCACCTTGTACTAAAAGAAACCTCTACTTAACAAAATAAAAGAACAGGAGAATACCTGTAGAGTTTAGCAGGAGTGACCTCCGGAATAACATCATCTTCTGTGACAACCTTCTTGCCAATTGGAGCAAAGCCACCAAAGAGGACCCAGAACTCACCTGAATCTGATTCGGTGTCCAATTTCCCATCATCTAGCATGGTGAACACAAATTACAAAAAAAGTAAGTAATGTACGAAGAATTGCAAACTGGACAGTAATATATATTAGGATAAAGCCATGACTGGAAAAGCAAGTTTCATGAAAAGTATGGCAAGTACAATGCCTTACTTTATTAATCAAATGGAAGTACATTTAAATAGAGTAGGGTTCGACCACCAAGTCTAGAATCTTCTCCTAGGATCTCGGTAGATTGATTTCTACCAACTAATCCACTTTATTTGAATTTAAACTATAAACTGATAACTCCTAATCTACATAATCGGAAATAACAAACTAATTAAATAAAATCTCTTTGACTTATTCAAATTCTCCCTAAAAGGTAGATCTTATCCGCTAACACTCCCCCTCAAGCTTGGCCGTAGATATCAATGAGCCTAAGCTTGCCTACTAAGTACTCGAACGTTGGTTCAAGAAGTCCTTTGGTGAGTATATCCGCAACCTGTTGGCCTGTAGGAATGTACTCAATGCTGATAATTCCCTTCTCTAGTTTTTCAATAATAAAGTGTCTATCAACCTCCACATGTTTAGTTCTATCATGGACTGAGTTGTGTGCTATGCTGATTGTGGCCTTGTTATCGCAATAAACCTGCATAGGAAACTCACACCTGATCTTCAACTCTTCTAGTAACCGTTTCAACCAAATTGCTTCACAAATACCATGAGCCATGGCTCTGTATTCCGCTTCAGCACTGCTCCTTGCTACTACGGACTGCTTTTTACTACGCCAAGTCACCAAATTACCCCAGAGGCGTGTGCAATATCCGGCTGTTGATTTCCTATCTTTGACAGATCCGGCCCAATCTACATCAATGAAGATTTCCACCCTTCTGTTTTCTTCTTTACCAAAAAATAATCCTCTCCCCGGAGTCTTCTTGAGGTATCTCAAAATTCGATAAACAGCTTCGAAGTGTCCTTGGCACGGTAACTGCATGTGTTGGCTTACCACGCTTACTGCAAAGGCAATGTCTGGTTTTGTATGCGAGAGGTGTATTAGTTTTCCCACAAGCCGTTGATATCTTTCTCTATCAACCATCTCTCCATCAATCAATTTTGCCTTGCCTCCTTGTTCAATTGGAGTCTCTATTGGTTTGCACCCCAGCATACCAGTCTCTTGCAATAAGTCTGGTGTATACTTTCTTTGTGATATGGAGATTCCCCTCTTGCTTCTTGCGACTTTCCATTCCCAAGAAATATCTCAGTGTCCCGAGATCTTTAACCTCAAACTCCATAGCCATCAATCTTTTAATTTTCTCCATTTCTTCAAAGTTGTCCCCAGTAAGTATTATGCCATCTACATATACTATCAGGATTGTGATTTTTCCATCTGATGAGTGCTTGACAAACGTGTGATTAGTTTGTCCCTGTGAGTATCCATGGCTTTTAATCACCTTTGAAAATATATCGAACCATGCACGCGGGGACTGCTTTAGTCCATATAGTGATTTTTTCAGCTTGCACGCCATTTTGTCTTTCTTATCCTCTTCAAACCCAGGTGGTAGACTCATATATACTTCTACCTCCAATTCACCATTTAAGAAAGCATTCTTCACATCGAGTTGAAACAAAGGCCAACCTAAATTTGCTGCTAGAGATAAGAGGACCCTTATTGTGTTGAACTTTGCAACGGGAGCAAATGTCTCAGTGTAATCCACTCCATAGGTTTGTGTGAAACCTTTTGCAACCAGCCGTGCTTTGTACCTTTCAATCGATCCATCCGGCTTGAATTTGACAGTAAATACCCATTTGCATCCGACCACACTCTTGTCTTGTGGTAGTTCAAACAAACTCCATGTGTCATTCTTCTTAAGCGCTTGCATTTCTTCAAGGACTGCATTTTTCCAATCGGGAACAGCTAGGGCTTCTTCTATTGATCTGGGAATATTGACATTAGACAGCTTTGTGGTGAAGACACGGAATAGTGGAGACAAATTATCATATGACACAAATTTGGAAATGGGATGTTGTGTACATGATCTAACACCTTTCCTATGGGCAATTGGTATATCTAGTGTTTCGAAAGTGGCTTCAGGATTACCTGGAAATGAGGAATTAGTTCCTAGCATTGGTTCGGATTCTAGGCAGTGCATGGTGTTCATGAGAGGCTTGTTCCCTTGAGAATGTTTCTTCCGAGAGTAAACACGTAGCACTTGTTGATTTGGTAAATTGAGTTCTCTCCCTGTTTCAAGGACCGGTACTTCTTGTGTTTGTTGTGGCATATTCTCAAGTGGAAGTATGTTGTCGGATGGGGTGAGCTCGGATGTGGTGGGTGGAGTTGCAGCTGTTTCGGTCTCAGGTAATGAGGTCACAGGCATAGGTGGAGTCTCGGATATGGGTGTCCCAATCCCACACATGAGCTTGGTCATGATTCTCCCCCTGAAACGAAGTGGCGGAATAATATGGCACGTCTTCAAAGAATGTGACATCACGGGAGATAAACATTTTTCTTGTCTTAGGACAGTAACACCAGTACCCTTTTTGGGTAGGAGAATAGCCGAGAAAGATAGTTTTTATGGCTCGAGGGTCAAGTTTGGTTTGGTGTTGACGATGAATATGGACAAAGGTAGTGCAGCCAAATGTCTTGAAGGGAAGATTATTTACGGTTTTAAGGTGTGGATAATTTTTTGTAAGCTGGGACAATGGGGAATGGAAGTTTAAGGTTCGGCTAGGTAGGCGATTGATGAGAAACGCAGCAGTTAAAATGGCATCTCCCCACAGGTATTTGGGAACATTCATTGTAAACATGAGAGCATGGGCCACTTCCAACAAGTGCCTATTTTTTCTTTCCGAGACTCCGTTTTGTTGCAGGGTATCAACACATGAACTTTGGTGAATGATTCCTTGTTGTAGCAAATATTCCCCCAAGATAGATTGAAAGTATTCTCTCCCGTTGTCAGTTCTCAGGACAAACTTTTTTCTGAAATTGGGTTTGAATCATGTTATTGAAATTTTGGAACACTTGGTAGGTTTCTGATTTTTCTCGAAGAAAGTATACCCAAATTGTCCGTGTGTGATCATCAATAAATGTCACAGACCATCTTTTTCCATTCATTGTAGTAATCCTAGATGGTCCCCATATATCGCTGTGAATTAATGCAAATGGGCTAGAGGGTATGTAAGGTTTAGGAGAAAATGGTACTCGAGTGTGTTTTGCAAACTAGCATATGTCACAATTGAAAGAAACAGAACTTTTATTCTTGAATAAAGATGGTAACAAATGTTTCAAATATGAAAAATTAGGGTGGCCAAGTTTATGATGCCACAACATTATTTCCCTATCACTAGAAACAGAAATGGATGAAACACTAGATGCAAATGCTTGTTGACTCTCATACTCTATGTCCTCAAGGTAGTAAAGCCCCTCATGAACTCTAGCACTGCCAATCATCCTCCCCGATGATAGGTCCTGAAAATAACATGTAGAAGAATGAAAAATGGCAGCACAGTTATTATCACAAGTGAGTTTACTTATGGACATCAAATTGCATTTCAAGGTAGGAACATGAAGAACCGATTCAAGTGTTATTATCACTTTGATTGAACCTATTCCAACGACAGAAGACAAAGATCCACCTGCAATTTTTACTTTAGCAGAACTATGACTAGGGGTATAAGAAAGAAAAAAATCAGAGACACCTGTCATGTAGTCGGAGGCACCAGAATCAATGATCCACAGTTCCTTAGAGTGAAGGGTAGACTTTAAGGATGAGTGATAGTTACCGATTTGAGCTACCGAACAGGATCCAAGGCTTAGAGTTGATGAGGATGAGGTTGGTGACTGGTTGAGAAGGCGATAGAGTTGCTCAATCTGTTCTTTGCTAAACGGAATTGATTTTTGGTTTTCTGCTGTTGCTCCCTTGTCTTGGTTTGATTGAGTTTGAAATGCACGTCCTTCATTCTGTCTTCAGGGAACCCAATTTGCGGGTTTACCATGAATTTTCCAGCATATGTCACGAGTATGTCCATGCCGACTACAATGGTCACACCACAGTCGTTCTCCTCGACATGGTGTCCTAGAATCATTGTTGTTCCTTGCTGGTTGTGAAGTGTTTCTAGTTGCCAGAGCCAAGCCTTCTGTTGGTGATACACCAGATGATTCTTCTTCTGACAACATGACTTTCCGGCGATTTTCTTCTCTACGAACTTCGGCAAAAGCTTCTTCGGTTGTTGGGAATAGAGCTCAACTTAAAACGTGGCCCCTGACTTCGTCTAGATCTCAATTCAATCCAGCGAGAAATTTGAATACCCGTTCTTTTTCAAGAATCTGTCTCTGCTTCCCATTGCAAGTTGGACACACTGAATCTTCTTCAAGGAAAAGATCTAGTTCTTGCCAACTATCTTGCAAGTCAGTGAAATACTGGGTAACAGATTTGGTACCCTGTTTCATCTCCTTCAGTTTCGTGCGAATTTCGAATACTTGTGAGGCGTTGTTGAGATCAGAATATGTACTTTTTGCAGTATCCCATATGTCTTTAACAGTCGGAAGGAAGAGATATTGGCGGCTGATCATGGGCTCCATGGAGTTGATAAGCCATGCGTGTACAATTGAGTTTTCGGCAAACCATTTTTTGTATGCAGCGTCGGTAGGTGCTGGAGCTTTAGCTTCACTAGTGATGTATTCGAATTTTCCCCTGCGACAGATCACAATCTTTACTGACTGAGACCATTGGAGATAATTCTTTCCATTATGTTTGTGAGCTGTAATCTGGAGTGAGTTATTGTCGCTGCCTTGAAACGCCGTTGTCGGGTTTTCTGATTTGGAATCATCTCCACGTGAAGACCCCATCATGGCTGTTTTTGCCATCGAAATATTCAGAGTTCAAGGCTCTGATACCATGAACGCAGATGTGAAATTAATCTGCCTTACTTTATTAATCAAATGGAAGTACATTTAAATAGACTAGGGTTCGACCACCAAGTCTACCATCTTCTCTTAGGATCTCGGTAGATTGATTTCTACCGACTAATCTACTTTATTTGAATTTAAACTATAAACTGATAACCCCTAATCTACATAATCGGAAATAACAAACTAATTAAATAAAATCTGACTTATTCAAATTCTCCCTTAAAGGTAGATCTTATCCGCTAACACAAACTTTTTTAACAACTGTTATGTATGGATGTATAAATGTCTATAACTAGGTACATGCACTCACCTACAATGGCAACATCACATGTTCCCTCATGATACTTCTCCTTCAAAAACTGAATTACTTCCAAAGCCTTGGCCCTTTCCTGTATATTGGAATTCGCACCGTTGAACTGATAAATCTTGTTCTTGGTGTCCAAGATGAATACATCATCATGGTTCAGCGAAGAGCGGGCAAAAGGGACCTGCACCAAGTAAATAGCAGAGGAATATTCGGTGAACCCCCAATAGGTTTATGTTGAAAGAATCTCAAAGTGAATTTAAAAATCCCATGCCAACAAAATTCAAACCTGTTTCATTCTGACTACTCTTTTTCCTCTGCAGATATATAACCGTGTTTCAAATTCTTCTTCCTCAGGTTTTTTAAATCCAGATGCAACACCTCCCTCCAACGGTATAATACATGGTTTGAAGTATGACAAAAATTTGTCAGATTCATGGCCTTGAATTTCCCTATGTTGCACAGCACGTCCGCCAAGAACCACATCAAGTTCAACAGTTTTGATAGCTGCAGTTCCAGCTTCATCCTGCAGCAGGAAGGTACATATCGGGTAAAAAATATAAGAGAAAAAAGAAAAAAGAAAAATTAAGCTAAAACCATTACACTCTGCTCTACACTTGCAAAAACTTGAAGAAGCTTTAAGCTATCAATGACACATACGAACATTATAGACAAACATCAGAGAGAGGGAGAAGCCAAAAGCACACCTGACTTGTATCTTTTCCAAGCCAGAAGTGGATGTCGAATAGATAAGCACCCCCTTTTCCTTGTGTTGTCTGCAAAAAGAGGTATCAGATTACTTATTAAATGGAAAAAAAAAAAAAAAAAAAAAAAAGGTATCAGATAAGCACATGTAATATAAAATGCAAGGGCACTACTTGGGGCCCTTTTTCCCTATATTTCCTCCCTCCATAAATTTGAAATTTGTTTTAAAAGGTATGCAGGACAGAAACATCTAGAGAAGAACCTTCAGCAAGTAGTGTGCAAATCTCTATAGCTGTGCAAGCGTTAACCTTAAATAAAATAGTTGATATTACAACATAGGCTTCAGATAAAACAGGAGAACAACAGTCAGCCAAAAATACGCATCACTACTAAAGACCTTAAAATGTATTCGTCGCCATTGTGGCATTGTCTTGTGTGGTAAGACAACATTAAAGACCATTCACACACCTGTAGTACAATGTACGAATCCCCACTGTAGAATGTCCCATAGTCAGACTTTGGTACAGGAACTGGCTGAAAATCCTCAATCCGCCAAATTTCACTCCCTCTAAAAAGATGTTAAGTTTAACATTCACGAAAAGCAAACACTGGGAGACGGAATTTTAATTTGTGAAAAAAAATTAGCAGAAACACATAGCCAGCTAAAGAAAAGTAATCCATTCTTTCCCCTACTCAGTGATGGAAGTCAATTAAATAAGTTTGCTCCTCTAATTTTAAGAAAACAAAATAAAAGTAAATTTGTTTTATAGTATTGTTTCCAGTCAATTTTCATTTTAAAGGATACACTCTCTGACCCGCTCCTTGAAATGCGGGATCCAAAGCTTTTGTGGAGCTAGACATTGCTTGAAATTGTTTGTTATTAATATTCTGAGTGCAACGACCAAAAAAAAAAACAAAAAGGGACCCTTTTAGTTGTCTGTTCTCTGCTCTGTGGAAATCCACCAAGATTTCACTGCAAGAAAAAATACAGATGTAATCATAAATATTTGAAGAAAATGCAAAGTTAAGAGTTGCTCAAAATGGGAACAACAGTTTACACTAAGTTCAGATCAAGAAATGAAGAAAAGGAATCATTACTGTTTCAATTGAGGGAAAAGCACGAGTGAAGAAATTTTAGAGAGATGCTTTGAAGTTTAAATCTCTATAAAAGTAGCAGAAGTTAAAAGAAGACAGTGTATACAAACATCTGTTTACTGTAAAGGCATATCTTCATGCAAGAATGTGCATACGCAATTAAACAAGTGTTTCACGCATAAGCATGCAGGCATACTGGTTTCACTGTGTTTGGAATGTAGTCATTTTGCACTTATAATAAGTTAGAAGACTTTCCATTAGATGTGAAATTTTGATTTGCATGTTTTAACTCACTTGAGATGTCAGCTTTATAAGTTATTCAATTTACAATCATGTTAGACCTTGCAACATTATCGAAATTGCATTACCCCTACTTTTCCATTCCGTGTATACTTTTTAGATCTTGTAGCTAAATGCTGCTTCTATCAGAATTCTCAAGAGATCTTGAAACTGATTTCACTATAGAGAAAGATCTTTCCTTCTTCTATTCCACTCAGAATTTCCCAAAACACTCTGATATTCGGCGCCGGCTGCTTACTTTACCCCAGACTTTCTTCTCACAATGACACATCCCCTGATAAATACTAATGCTTCACTACGTTTGATCCCCCAACATAAGCATAAATGTTGTTAGTCGTCTTTCTCCCTTCTTTTCTGTTACTTTCTTCCTATGTTATCATGTGAACGCAGTATTTGCTTGAAAAAATAATCACATGATACCATCCTTGAGAATAACTTGATTCTTAAGATTTCCATACGTTCTACTCAATCAAGGTTACATCCTTGTGCTCTATAAAATTGAGCTACTTCTCTTCTTTGTATTACTCTTCAAATTATGAGAGTCGTTACTTGGTCATTTACCAGGCTTCTTACATTCGTAGTCTTTGTTCTTCAATCATGAAATGATTCTTCCAAGAGCCCACACGTAGGTGATCCTCTAACATTATTGAAGAGAAGCCTACGGTATTGAGATCATTGGTGAAATCGCATTTCCATTCATACAGGTCATGCACAACCCTTTCCAACTCCTTGCTAATCAACAGATACCCAACTTGGAACCAATTCATACAACATGAGTACTAATCTGAAAAGTCATTCTTATTCTAGAGGAGCAGTGATAACAACCTTTCTCTTCTCTGTGTGCATGTTTTTATCAAATTCCCCAGTAGCAGAGCTCCAAAGTGGATGCTACAGATAGAATTCCACGTTCACCAAATTGGGAACCTTCACATTTTAGCAAATGCAAAGACGAAGCAGATATATCCTCAATGGCACTTTCTCCAAATCACAACATTCATAAAACCAACTCCACAAGCGCGGAGAGGGTTGAGTCATTCAGATTTTCAAAGCAACTCCATTTCTAATTACAGTAAAGTCATCCAAGAGAAAAAATCTTGGCAGAAGAAAAGCCAGCTCAAATAGAACTCCAATCTCCATTAATGAGTTTGTGTAGTAAAACGATAATGGTGTTCCGAGCTGATCGTGAAGCGGTAGCGAGATCAAAAGGCCAAAAAAAGGTTCTATCTTTGTGGAAAAAAAAAAAACAGAAAAACAACTCATATATTCAAAAGTTCATATACATAGTCTTTCATAGATCTCAACAGTTTTTTATTTGTTATTTTATTTAATCACTCGTACTTAAAATCATCAATTTAACTATTCAAACCTCTACAAAAATCCAAAAAACCAGACAAAACAAATGAAAGGGCGAGATCAAACGTCGAACAAAAAAAAAACAGAAGAATAATACACACGATCAGAACAATTAGCAATCATCAAAACACACACAAAAAAAAAAAAGCCGAATCAGATCAAACCTCACAACCACATTGACAAAACGACAACAATCGAAACCTCAAGAATTACGAAACCGATAATTCAATACTACGACAACGATCAGCTCAATTACGATAACGAAATCAAAGAAGGATCTGCTTACAGAGTGAAATGATCGAATCCGATCGAGCTCGGTTGATGATCGCGAAGTTGAGGAGAATTCGACGTAGCCGAAGCAGATCTTCTCTCTGCGTGCGGTGATGATGATGATGAGGAGGAGGAGGAGAAGAGAGAAAGAAGAGAGAGAAAGAGAGAGAAATGGGTATGGGAAGGACGAGAGGAGAAGAGCTGGCAAATGAATAAAGAAAGAAAAGGAAGGGGAAGATACTCGGAAAAGAAAAGTGAATTATTGCTCTGTATGTGTGTGTTGTGCTGTGTGGGCAATTCTCTCTCTAACTTTTTAAGCCTTTTGAGATTTGTAATTCGGAGAGAGAGAGATAGAGAGAGAGAGTTTCAGAGGGAAATCTAGAGAGAGAAACAGAAGGTGTGTAATTGTAATTGTATGAATGAATGAATGAATTATGAAGAAGAAAGAAAGAGAAACGGTAGGGGAGAGAGAGAGTTTGGGCAAGAGAGTCGTTATTTAAGGCAAAAGCACCAAGAGATCCGGTGACGGGGAGGCACCGGCCAATGTTGGCTTTTCTCTCTTTTGCTTATTTGGGATTCATATTGATAGATTATATTAGAAAATTTACAAGCTAAGGCTATTATTTCTCTCCTTTTTTTTCTTTTTTTGAAGGAATATTTTTTATTTAATGATTAGATTTTAGTAAATGGCTGGTTTAGGTCAATTTTAAATAAATAATAGATGAATTAAAATTATTTATCATATAAATTTGAACAACAAGAAATTAATTACTTATCTGACAAATAAATTGTCTTATTATAATTGTTGTCATTTATTAAAAAAAAAAATTGACTATTTCTTGCACACAGAAACAGTTGTAAATCCCCTAAAAAAAAAAAAGAAAGAAACTGTTCTATTGTAAGTTCGCTTTTTTTTTTTTCTTTGAAACGATCGTTTTTCTCTATATAGATACTAATATCACGATAAATGAATAAACTTATTGGGAATCATTATAAGTGAATTAAACAATATGTTTGTTGTTAAAACAATATGCAGGATAAGCAAATGGCATGTTTACACAATTGTAGTGAAATGTAATGAGAAAAGTAGCAAATGGCATGTTTACACAATTGTAGTGAAATGTAATGAGAAAAGTAATGAGTTTAGAGAAGACTGTAAGGAGGCGTTTAGTATACAGTAATTTTAAGAATGAGAATGAGAATCTGTAATATTACCATGTTTGGTACAAGAACTATAATATTTAGATTCTCAGGAAAGTAATTACCATGGGATTCACTTTCTCTCATTTTAAGGTATCTGAATACCACCTAACATGGTGTTATTCAAATTCCCAAGAATCTCAAAATCATGGGAATCTTATTATAATAATTATTATTATTATAATAATAATAATTATTATTATTATTATTATTATTATTATTATATTTAATAGTTGTGGCCAATTTGCCTTGAAAATAAAATTGGAGATATTTAGGTAATATACCATGATTTTTAATGTTTGATTGATTTTTGCTATGTGTACTAAAATTATTATAAAATATACCACAATAGCATTATTTAAATTTTGTGTACTAGAATAAAATTATATTTATACTTTGTGTATTTTATTCATAATCTTTGAATTTTGTGAGAATTTTATGATTTTCATGTATATATTTAAGATTTTTATAATCTTTATGTTTTTTATTAATAATAATAATATTTTTTTATTAATATTATTATTATGGATCTTCTTCCATGCGAACAACCAAACACAGTAATGTAATATTCTTGGGAATTTGAAAAAGATTCTTGTATGGAACCAAACACAATAATGTATTATTCCTAGAAATCATATTACCCTCCATCACTTTTCTGGGAATATGATTCCTATTGATTCTCGCATACCAAACGCCTCCTAACCTTTCATTTTTCTACTATTTACATATAGTAGTTAAAGGCACGTGTTATGTAAGTGCGGATTTAATTTATTGAATTTCTTGATTTTGAATGTAAAACATCCTTATTGTTGATTTATAATTCTAAATATATTCATTTTATATATAGGGCAACAAATAGAAAAATAAATTTTTAAAAATGTGCATTTAAAAATTACAAATTTTATTAAATTTCTATACTAAATGCACTACCAAATTTAACTTAAAATTTTTTGAAGGAGAAATTTAACTTAAATTATTTCAATAACTATTGTATATTTTACATAGATGTTCCTTAAATTAGATTAATCTGCGTCTTTCATTATATTTGAGATGATAAATAAGAATTATATTTTTAAGAATTTTGATACAAAAAATTATGAATGTTAGCTTTAATGTAAGAAATTAAACCCCATTTCAAAAAAAATATATATGAAATAAAACCTAAACCTATTAATATGCATGTTAAAATATATTAAAATAAAAGTAAAGTATTCTATTTTAGCAATTATATAGGGGTTCCTTGGTAGGATCAGAAAAAATGAACTGTCAGTACTTTCTTACTTTTTAACTGTTAAATTTGTATTAGAAATTGTCTGTTCTACATATTTTTTTTTTAATTTAAAGTGACTTTGATCAGATCTAATGGTCGGAAATCAAACCATATCGGTAGGGAAGCTTACCAGAAAAACTCCCAATTATATATTATCACAACAATTTTACGCATAATTTACCAAATATATAAATTCAACTTTAAAAAAAAAATCTAAATTATGCTTTTAGTATTAACAATGTGCCTGCTTATTTTGGTACGGTAACTTTTGAGTGACACAATGGACAACCCCCATGCTTGTTTGGATTTGAACCTGGGTTTAAGGTTCATTTGAACCCAAAATTAAATGTTAGAAGAGAACTTTACCCCCCCCCTTATGTTCTTAAGGTCTTAATTTAAAACATTGTTCACAAAACTAACTCAAAGGTGCCTACCAATAATTTTCACTAACATTTTTTTTTTAAAATCCATAGTTCTAATAATGTACTAAATATTGGTTCAAACTCTATTACTTGTTTAGACTTTACATCATGAAACGCCAGTTCAAACTACAGAAAACCCATATATGGGTTTAAATCTAAAGATTCAAATCCACCAATTTGAACCTACGGATCAAGCAAGGCAAATATTTTGATGACACAACAATGCCAAAATGATTTGTAATGTGTGATAACTAAATGTTTTTCCCAAAATGTGAACTAAGTCTTTATATTTTTTTATAGGTTGAACTAACTCTTTGTTTTTATTTTTTTTAAATTTTTTTTTAGGAATAAACTAACTCATTTGTTTGAAGAGAATTTTACCCCCTTAAGTTCTTAAGGTTCTAACTCAAAATATTGTTCACAAAACTAACTCAAAGGTTCTCACCAATTATGTTCACTCACATTTTTTTAAAATCCCATAGTTTTAATAATTTAACCAAATGTTGGTTCAAACTTTATTACTTGTTTAGACCTTACATTATCAAACGCTATTTCAAACCACAAAAAACTCACATATAGGTTCAAATCCACCGATTTGAACCTGCGAATCAAAGGGGAAATTATTTTGACTGTACAACAAAGCCAAAATGATTGTTAATGTGTGATAACTAAAGAGACGTTTGGTAAGGGGATTCATACCATGATTTGAATCATGGTTCATGATTTGATACAGTATTTTCTCTCACAAAAAATACACGTAAATCGAAAATGGTTATAATCTCATGATTCTAATCCATCATAGCACTACAATTTCTCGATCATAAAAGAACTATCACGAACTAATAGAGTTCTTTGGTATTATCCGACGAGAGTGTTGTGATTAAGTAATAGAGAGTTTCTTTGATAGGATTGGAAAAAATAAATTATTAGAAGTTAGAATCATGATATTTGAACCATTTTCGATTTACGTGTGTTTTTTATAAGGAAAAATATTGTAGCGAACCATGAACTATGATTCGAATTAGAGAACGAATTCTCCAACGGGCTTTTAATTTTATTTTTATGGTATAATGGTTTTTTTTTTTTTTTAACATATCTCCACAATAAGGTCTTACCCACTTTCAAAATTGAGGGGGAAGAACAGCATTTATTAGAGAGATCACTTTTAAATTTGCTTTGACCTCCTCCTTTACAGTTTAAACCTTCGCAAGAACTTCTTTGCAAAATTCCAAATCTTGTTGCTATTCAAGGATCATGCTGAACCTATAAGTATTACTGGCCAGTGTTATTATTATTATTTATTTCATCTACTTTCTATAATAAAACTAAAAAGAATATGATATTCCATAACAATTAAACAAATAATGACATTATATATATATCTTTTCTCTTAGCTATCTATGACAATGATTGGATATATAGTCTAGCGCCTAGTGGTAATTTCACACGAAATCAGTAAAAACTATTTAACTATGGGATTAATTAAGCACTGGAGCTTGGCAGATGTAGAGAGTAAAATCTACAATTCATTAAATCAAGGGCCAATGACTGAGTTAGGAGTGGTCAATTGATAAAATTGACTCGCTGCGAGAACGAAAACGTTAATAAACATAAATATAAATGAAACTAGTAAAAAGACACAAAAAATTATAGTAGTTCTCCTGATAATGCATGATACGTTCACTGTATGGCTCCGGTGGTTTCACTATGACTGCTGAAAAGCATTACAATGAATCGTTCTGAGGAAAACGAGATGAGAGAGAGAAATGTATGCTAGAAAATACAATAAGAAATGAAAAAGTCTTCTGGAAATGAGCCGAAACTTTTGTGTACTATGGAAACTTTTGTGTGCTATGGAAGCATGCTGAATTGTGTCCAAATGCCTTGTATTTATAGTTGATGAGGCTCCACGAGTTATTTTCTAATTCTCTGCGTGACATGACTTTCAATTCGTGATATTCCCTTCCTTTTTGGGCGTTGCATGACTTTCCTTAACTGATTGTATCTATAAAGACTAGTCAATCATAGTTTATTGTATATTTTGAGTTGATACGACCTCTTTGTTAGCTAATTACTGGAGATATAGTTTCCTTATATGGAAGTCAATCAATTTCGTCCAATCAGAGGGTTGCTTGCGGCCTAAGTCGACTGTTGACCGTTTTTCTATTAATTCTTCTAGCTTGAGCAGTTGATTTCCTTCTTTTTCTGGATGATCTTGTTGCTAAATCTCGTTTAAGGAATGCCTTGAGGATATTCTCTCGTGACTTGATGCCCAAAGCTGTCCGTCGACTCGTGAGATCGACCAGCGGAGTTGATCAATTGACCTATTGATTCTGCCTGCTCAAGAAGTCATGGTGACTCATCTAGTGACCTTCTGGAGCCCAAATTGCCACGTGTACGATGAGAGATGAGGTACGAAAACTAACCTCAACAAGGTCATGAATGAAATTTCAATGGGAACCAAGCAAAGAAATATAAACAAAATCATATAAAAAAATAGACAAAATTGATGATGAAGAAAGGACATGCAAAAAAAAAAAAAAAAAAAAGAGTAAATTTATGCCTTAACGTGCCAACTTTTTAAATTTTGTGTCTTGTCTTAAAAGTTAAATTATGCTTAAAAAAATAATATTAATATTTGAGCGCAAAAATAT